AAGAAAGAAAGAAAGAAAGAAAGAAAGAAAGAAAGAAAGAAAGAAAGGGAAAAGAAAACCACAGAGAAAATCCAGTGGAGTTTTAAACATCCCTTATAAGCTTCCCTAACACAGCAAATCACATGGAGCACTGAACAGAGGAAAAAAATTCAAATTAAAAGGGGATGTAACCTGAATAAATGTTGCAGTGAAGAGCATTACCCTTACACAGAATTGTCATCATCTATGTCCAGTCCCTGTCATTATCTAAATAGCAGAGAGAACTATGTCCTTTCTACAGACAGACACCCAGCCAGAAGAAACTCTGCATACCGAATTCCCACCTCACCACAAAGACACATGAATTAGCATTGAGGAGGGTTGGCTTCTGCTCCTTAGAACTGAGCTTCTTTACCAACCCCTTAACCTGTGACGTTCCTTTTTACATGCACTAAGATCAAACACTTAGACAGAGCTCAGGACATCTACTCAGGACACTCTCAAAATTCCATTTGTTTCAGTCTCCCAAATAAAATCCTGGCTATAGACTGGGACCTGGAAATGCATACAGTTGGCAGGCTTACTACGACAACAGACCGACAGATGCTCTTGAAAACAGATCTGCACCCGATGACTTCATTAAGGAAGGAATGTGATACAGTGAAGATGCAAACAAAACACAATTATAGAGGGTTCTCAAAAGGGCTGGAGTGATGTTTTGTGAGTAAGAGGGAAGCAAGGGCTGAGAGACAGCTCATGGTCAAGGGTGCTTGCTGTTCTTGCAGTCTGGATTTCAGCACCCACACCAGAGGGCTCACATCTGCTTGGAATTCCAGGTACAAGGGATTTGATGCCCTCTTCTGACCTCCGAAATCATTCCAACACACACACACACACACACACACACACACACACACAGGAGTAAATCTTTAAAGAGACCAAAACCAAAATTTAATTTTGATTTTTAAGAAACCCTGCAAGATAACACCAAAAGTGCTTCCATCAAAGACACCTGTCCTATGCATTGATTATCTACCCAACCTTTCGAATTTTGAATTGTTTTTATTTGTTCTTACTTAATGTGCATGAGTGTTTTGTCTCCACTTGCAGGCATTGCCCACAGAGGCCAGAGATGTCATCGGATACCCTGGGACTAGATCATGTGGGTGTAGAGACTCAAATCCAAGTCCTCTGCAAGAGCAGCCAGCACCCTTGACCATGAGCTATCTATCCCTCAGTCCTTGCACACAAAAAAGAAACTGAAAAGCAAAGAAGTAACTTCTCTTAGACTACATTTTTCAAATACCTTCTTTATTTATACCTTTCCCATAGGCCAGCTTTCCACCGCTATATTTGGTTAAAAGAATGAAGGGTTTAGGGCCAAGAATGTTCTTTAAAATTGTCTGGTTTAAGATCCTCAAAGGTGAGAAGGCTAAAAACCTAGAGAAGAAACTACCCAGGAACACACAGTAAATCAACTTCAGGGCCAAAATTAGACTCAATAAACTGTTTGAGTACTCTATGCCATAAAACAAACCCCAGTCAGACAGAAAAAAAAAAAATTAATGACTTTGGAGAGTCAAGGCTCTGTAGCTTTAAAACAACATGAAAATACCTGGATTCATGGTGTAGACAAAGGACCTCTCATTAGGACCCACCTCCTGCCTGCCTTGGGTACAAACTGGGTCTGTGTGATTCAGAGCATTTTTCAAACTATGATAGACAACCACTTTGGGCCCAAACTTACAATGTCCCTGAAGTTTACAAGGTAAGTCCTAAAGGACAGGACTAGCACAAGAAGGCTCAGAGAGACAAGGCGGAGGCATGCCAGAGCTGAGCTGGCAGAAGGACAGAGACTAAGCATGGATCTTAAAACAGGACAAGGATGGTTCCCTGCTCAGTTTTGTGTTGTATCCCTGCTATTAGACTATGGCTCTCTTTTAGGACAAACTGTAGGTTGCTAATTGAATCTCCTTGCTCCAACTGCAACCTGAAAGGGGGAAAAGAAAACCCACCGTTCTGATTTCATACAACACACACACACACACACACACACACACACACACACACACACACACACACAAATTCCCTGAGACATGGCAAGTGGATTATAAAATGCTGGAAGAAGCAGTAACTAATGAATGGCTTCCACTTCAGTAAGTAGCCGAGGAGGGCCCAGCCTGAGGGGCAGCATCAGGTCCCTCCCTGGACCTCACCCCAGGGCTGCCTTCATAAATCTGATCTCCAACTGTAACCGCTTTGGCTTGTTTCCCTGGGTGTGGATTTTCTTGATTGAAACGCATTCTGCAGCCGGCCAAGTTCTTGGGAGAGTTTCCTCCACTTGCCAAGGGCTGGCTGGAAGCTACAAAGTCAACTCTGGCTTTCCAGATTTTTTTTTTCTTCCCAACGGAAGAAATCAAGAAGCAGAGGGCAGAGAGGCTCTACTCCTTCCAATCAGCACGGGCTTCTGGGTCGCCAGGCCTAGAGTTGGAGAAAGAAACTCCATGGCTGGACTCCTAGCACAATGACAACCCCAGGCTCCCCAGGGACCCGCAGGGTTAAGGGCACATCCGTAGCCAGGCTACCCCGGAGCCAGCCACACTCCCTCTGCGCTTCAGCTCACCAGGCAGGGACAATACCAACACATCGAAAGGGGCGCGCGCGGGGGGGGGGGGGGGGGGGTGGTCAGTCCACCTTAGGCCAGTTGTGCCAACACTCACCGGGCTTTTTGCTCATTTCACCAAAACACCAGTGCCCGATGCACACCCAAATCGGGACCGGGACTGGGTGGGCAAAGCCCGAGTCTGAGTCGACAAGCCATGGGACACAGGGCAGACCCCCTCACACTCGCGGGGAGACCAGGATCCCACGCGTGCCTGTCCACGCTGTCACCTTCAGTGACGCAAAGTCGCACCAAATACAGGGACAGAAACAGCCTTCCCACCCGCGAGCTTCCACACTCGCCGAGTCCGCATAGTTACCTCTGAAGCCATCCTCACCACATAGGAGAAAAGGAAGGCGGGCTCACACAAGCGTCCCCCCCACCAAGTCCCTCTCAGTGACAGTCAACTAGTTACACCCCAAAAGAGGTGGTGAGACAATGCCAGAGCGCACGGACTCGCGAGTGCTCAGGTCCATCCATGCGGGTCCTCTCGGGGTTCCCGTCCCTCCGGAGCGCAAGGAGGCGACCACCAACACGGCAGCGCAAGCTCTGAACCGCTTCCGCTGACTGCCAAGCCGGGGACCACAGTTTCGCCCTAGCGACTGTCCTGCGAGTCCTGCGGGTCTGCGCTCTGGGTCTGCGATGCCGGGATTTTCGCCCAGTTCCTGAAAAAACATCCCTGCCCCCCGACCCTGCCAAGTCCTGTCTGGGGACTTGTAGGGCCTCGGGGACCCTACTGGCCCTGGAGACTCTGACCTGTTCAGGGACCCAACTTAGCCCTGGAGATCCTGTCCAGTCCTGTATAGGAACCCTGCCCTGCCCAGAGACGCTGTCCTGTCAGGAGTCCCTGTTCAGTCCTGCCCAGCACCATGAAGGGCCTTGGGGATCCTACCCGGCCGTGGAGACCCTGCCCAGCCCTGTCTGGGGACCCTGTCCGGTCCAGGGCACCCTGCCTGGGGACCTTGCCCGGGGACATCGTGGGACACCTGGCCACCGCTCCGTGTTTCAAAGCCGCCGCCGCCTCACCTCAGGATCCAGTGGCTCGTGCGCGCAGGACAGCCAAGAGGAGCGCAGCCCGCGGAGCGCCCGCTGCCTCAACAATGGAGCCCGGGGCGGGGCCCTGCGCAGCTCAGCGGTCTCGCAGTCGGGGCCCGGCGCAGAGACAGCACCGGTCAAAGCTGTGGCCGGAGGACACTGCGCAGGCGCGCCAGGCCCCGCCCGCCCCCAGGGCTCCGCCCCTCACGCAGCTAGAACCCGCCCTCTAGCCAATGGTGAGGGAGTTGCTCACAGGGGGCGGGGCCGGGAGGAACAAAGAGAGGTTGGGAGGGGCAGCGGGTCGGGGCCAGCGACCGCGACCCTGCGCTGACCTGATTTCGCCGCTGGGCTCAGCGCCTACATGGACTCTCTCAGCTGTGCTCAGTGCTCATCCCAAACCTCGAATACTGGTTTCTAAAGCTCTGAGAGCCAGAGACTAGCCTGCTTGACAGAAAGGAACACTGAGGCTCAAGGAGCAAGATCTTCTGCCATCCGAATTACGATCCTCATAGTCTTGTCCGTCTTCTGGTCACTCAGCAAACATTTCGAAGCGTGTCGGTACCGTTAAGAGTGGAAAGAAAAAGGAAGAAAGCTCCCTTTAGGAGCTTTACCAAGTATCCCAGTTTCTCTGTCGCACTTCAGGAGCCCAGCATTAATCTGGTCTCTTTCCTGCTCAGAGCTTTGTTTTGTTTTCAATATCCACCAGGCATGACTCCTCTCTACCTACCATCCCCATTTATCCATGTCTCAATTATCTTTAAAATGAACCCAAGCCATAGAGGACTCTTCTGGAAGGTATACCTACAACATTCATGGATTTCTCTTTATCTCACAACCTGCCACTCCTCCCCTCTGCCTCTGACACAAGGCAGAGCCACCAGGGCTGGAGCCAGCGTCCTTCTCTTGGCACGGATACCCTCACCAGGACTCCCACCCACGTACATGATTACTTCAGGATCCAATCCAGTCAGCAGTGACCTCCACCAGACCCCGGCTGGGCTACCCCAAAATCACAAACCGCTTACTTCCAGAGACAGCCCAGCCGGCTCCTCCTCAGTGAGCCGCCTCTGTGCTCACTGGAGTCCAGGCAGGAGTCCAGTCTCAGTCCTCCTGTCCGACTCCCCCAGCCAACAGGTGATCTGCTTTCCCAGGCACTGGGTCCTCTTGTTACAGCCCCTTCTGAGAGAAGCAAAGCTATCCTGGGGGGGGGGGGGGGGGGAAGAGGTTGATCGGTGTGGTGGTTAGCATTAATTGTCAGCTTGACAGGACGCCTTGTGAAGGATTATCTCATCTCTGGGCATGCCTGTACAGAGCAATTACCTATATTTGGTTGAGGTGAGCAGATTGACACTAAAAGTGGGTCCTGGTCTGTATAGAAAGGAGAGAGCCAGCTGAGCACAGGTGTCCATTGGCCTCTGCTTCTTGACGTGATGTGACCAGCTGCCTTACTGCTACTGACACTGACATCCTCAGCTCACAGCTGTGAGCCCTCCAGCTATGGGCCAAAATAGACCTTCCTTTCCTAAATTGCTTTTGCCCTGGTATTTTATCACAGCAAAGGAAAAATAACCAAGATGCTTGGGAGCACCATCCTGCTATGAGAGCCTGAGCTGAGCCAAAGAAGTAGAATGCTAAATTGCTGTGCTCAAGAATGGGGGCAGCTGTGTTTGAAAAAAAGCTAGAGAGGGAGAAAAAGAAAGGGAGTCAAGGAAGAGAAGAGGGGAGGGGAGTGGTGGTGGGGAGAAGGTGGTAGTAAGGAGAGGAGAGGAGGCTATGATGGCTTGGAACATTTTAAGAGCAGGAATGTCTGCAGTCCAGTCACTCCAGCCTGTGTCACCCTACCAGCCTGTGGCCTCAGGCCTGTTTTGTGTGAGCAGACAGGGGTTCAGGGAGGGTTGGGGCGAGAAATCAGAAAACCTCTGCAGCCGGTCCCATGCATGCACCCTGTCTTCTCTGAGGACCATGCTATCAGTTAAGCTCTCCATCCTTCCTCTGTCTCACACCCACTTGGCCAAGGTTGATCTGCATGGGGGCGGGGGGTGAGCTATGCTTCTTGACAGCCACACAAATGTTTGTGTTAACCAGCAGTTTATCATTCCCCACCATGCGCCCCAAACGTCGGCCATACCACACGCACGAGTCTGTGCTGTTGACTTTGACCCTTGTCTGAAAGGTAGACAAGAGGAGAGTGCCAGGAACTGAGGGCAGGGGTTAGACTCCGCAGTCCCAACTTGAGTCCCATGACTCCCTCGAGCTGCAACACTGTTAGATCTGCTGCTTGGTGTACGTGTGTGTGTGTGCGCTCGCGTGTGCGTGCACGCGCGTGCACGTGTGTTTATACAGATAGAAGTGAATGATGGCTGGCATGGGACTCCTCACCATCTTGCCTCAACCTCGTGTATGCTGCTTCTGGCCAACACAATTTCTTTTCTTTCTTTTTTTTTTTTTTTTTCTTTTTTAAACAGGTTCTCTTGTGTACCTCAAACTGGCTTTGAACTCAGTATTTATCAGGGATAACCCTGACTCCCAATCCTTCTGCCCCAGCTTCCCAAGATCCAGGATAGAGGTGATAGAGGTGTGAGCCTCTAAGCTAATGCTTAGCTTAGTTTCTCTCTCTCTCTTTTTCCCCTTAAGACTTATTTATTAGCCGGGTGCATTGGCACATGCCTGAAATCCCAGCACCCAGGGAGGCAGGGGCAAGTGGATCTCTGTGAGGTCACGGCCAGCCTAAGCTGCAAAGCGAGTCCAGGACAGCCAAAGCTACACAAGAAACCCTGTCTAGAAAAAAAAAAAAAAAAAGACCTATTTATTTATGTATATGAGCTCTCTGTTTGCATATATGGTTGCATGGCATAAAAGGGCATCAGATCCCATTATAGATGGTTGTGAGCCACCATATGGGTGTGGGGAATTGAACTCAGGACCTCTCAAAGAGCAGCCAGTGTTCTTAACCTCTGAGCACTCCCAGCTTAGTTTCTTGAAAATAGCTTTGTAGATTCCGATTCTTTTCAAATTGCAATGCAATGGGAACATTGTCTTTCTCTAATTACATGACATATGACACACACCCCAAATCCAACAGGACTCCTGTGCATGCTGGCAAAACCATGACGTCATGATTCAGTGCTCAGAACAACGCAACAAATGGCTGTTTGTCTAATTCAAGCAATATGTGTGCGTTGTGTTCATTTATACAATTTGACTTCCATTTTTTAGAATTTAATGATTCTCCCAGGGGCTGGAGAGACAGCTAAGTGGTTGAGAATGCTTACTGTTCTATCAGAGTTCAGTTGCGGCAGCTTACTAACACCTCAGTGATTCTCTAATGATGTAACCCTTTAATACAGTTCCTCACGCTACGGTGAACCTCAACCGTAAAATTATTTTATTGCTACTTCATGACTGCAGTTTTGCTATGGTTATGAACCGTGATGTAAATATAGGATATGCAGGGTTTCTGATATGTGACCTGCAAAGGGGCTGAGACCCACAGGCTGAGACCTGCTGCTCCAGCTCCAAGGAATCCAGTGCCCCCTTCTGGCTCCCAGGAGCAACTGCATGGATGCACACAAATAAAAGCTCTCCCCACAGTGCATGGCTAATACCACATAGTCTATGGAGACATTTGTGTATCTTACTTGTAATGCCAACACTGAGAAAGCAGAAGCAGGAGGATTCCCAGTGCTCACACACACACACACACACACACACACACACACACACACACACGTCACCTACTGGTCGGAAATGAGGACCCTTCCCATGCATCTTGGAAGATGTGGTCTTGGAGGACATGTCCAGCCCCTTCTACCTGCTGCTACTCAGGCACAGGTGTCTTCTTTGGCAGGCAACATAGGGACCCCAAAACCATGGCCAGATTTAGGGTGCCTCCACAGGACAGGCTCCACTCAGGAGGGGACAGGTGTCTCTGCAGACTGGGGTGTGGGCCTTCATCTGACACACTCAGCTCAGTACCTCTGGGTGTGTGCATGGTGCCTTTCTCAGGGTCTCTATCTCCTCATCAAGAAAGCTGGCCTAATTATGAGGACCTAGTTTCCCCTGAGAGAATACGAAGCAGAAGCAAACCACGTGGCATGACAGGCTAGAGGACAGGTGGAAGGTCATCCTGCCGCAGAGGACGGGACTAATTTTTGTTTGTTTGTTTGTTTGTTTGTTTGTTTTGAGACAGGGTTTCTCTGTGTAGCTTGACTGTCCTGGAACTCACTCTTTAGACTAGGCTGGCCTTGAACTCACAATGCCTGCCTCTGCCTCCATAGTGCTAGGATTAAAGGTACCACCACCGCCCAGCTGACAGGGCTATTTCTAAAGAGAATTCACACTCACAGCCACTGGAGGCAGCCAGTTGGCTGTGGGAAAGAGAACTTGACTATCTCAGCTGTGGATATGTCTTGCCCTCCGTATCTCTGGCTCTCTCCACTCCTCGGACACAGACTGCCTGGGCTTCCTGAAGCTCTCTCCTTGTGGAAGTCATGTGATATAGCTCTGGCTGTCAGGTGATATGGTAGGCTGTGACTAGAGGCACCAAATGCCCACTGCTAAGACTTGCTGTGGACTTCCCATGATCTCTTCCTGCCCTGGTGGTCTCCAAAGCTCAGGTTCAAGAGGCTTGCCATAGGCAGCTGCACTGGGTTGAGGAGCAGAAAGGTGTCTGTACAGGCTCTGATGTCTCCCTTCTTCATCTGTCCTGGGGATTCCCAGCATAAGTCCTGGTTGATGCCAATTGAGAAGGTTGGTGCTAGGCAGAGATGGCCTCGGGCCTCAGATATGACAGTATGGCATTGTGAAATATATAAATAAATATATATATATATATATATATATATATATATATATATATATATATA